TATGTACCACCGGCAGATAGAGGAGGTGGCTGATATCCAGAAATCCTACCAGTGGCTGGACAAAGCTGGACTGAAAGACAGCACAGAGGCACTAATCATGGCAGCACAAGAACAAGCTCTGAGCACAAGATCCATAGAGGCTGGGGTCTATCACACCAGGCAAGACCCCAGGTGCAGGCTGTGTAAAGATGCCCCAGAGACAATCCAGCACATAACAGCAGGGTGCAAGATGCTAGCAGGCAAGGCATACATGGAACGCCATAATCAAGTGGCCGGCATAGTGTACAGGAACATCTGTGCCGAGTATAACCTGGAAGTCCCGAGGTCAAAATGGGAGATGCCCCCAAGGGTGGTGGAGAATGACCGAGCTAAGATCCTGTGGGACTTCCAGATACAGACAGACAAAATGGTGGTGGCTAACCAACCGGACATAGTGGTGGTAGACAAACAGAAGAAGACGGCCGTAGTGATCGATGTAGCGGTTCCGAATGACAGCAATATCAGGAAGAAGGAACACGAGAAGCTGGAGAAATACCAAGGGCTCAGAGAAGAGCTCGAGAGGATGTGGAGGGTGAAGGTAACGGTGGTCCCCGTGGTAATCGGAGCACTAGGTGCGGTGACTCCCAAGCTAGGCGAGTGGCTCCAGCAGATCCCGGGAACAACATCGGAGATCTCTGTCCAGAAGAGCGCAGTCCTGGGAACAGCTAAGATACTGCGCAGGACCCTCAAGCTCCCAGGCCTCTGGTAGAGGACCCGAGCTTGAAGGATAAACCGCCTGCAGGGGCGTGCTGGGTGTTTTTTATATACATATATATATATATATATATACACATATATATATATATATATATACACATATATATATATAGATATATATATATGTATATATACACACACACACACACACACACACTAGGGGTGCAACAATACATGTATCTGTATTGAACCGTTCGATACAGTGCTTTTGGTTCGGTACACATATGTATTGAACGATAGAGCAGGGCGATATGACCAAAAATATTTATCACGATATACATTTGAAAATTTGCGATAACGATATAACTGACGATATAATTGACGCTAGACAAAATACTTTACAACTCCACAACTTTATTAGTGCAAAAAACCCCATCAATGTATTTTCACTTAAACAAGCAGCTGTTTTTTATGTGCATTAAAGTTGTATAAAAACGTAACAGTGCAAATTCCTTGCTGACAGTCTAACCAAAAGGCATTTCCAGTGGAAAATGGCCGACATATCCTCAGCATAACCATGTATAATATCCACAAAACTTAAAGAGCTTATACACACACAATACGGTAATATTATGTTGAAGCGCAGTACGTATCACTCCACGAGGCGCCTGCCTACGATAACCGTAGTGCTCTGACAAGCCATCAAGCGGTGCGGCTTTGTAGCTTAGCAAAGTCGTACTCAAACATTTTTGACAGATTTTTGAGCAGGGTACCACATAAAATCGGTTCGAGGTCAGTAAGCACAACCAGAATTCATACATAAGGCGCACCAGGATATGAGGGGCACTGTCGATTTTCAGAAAAATCTGTGTATCTGACCGACCAAAGCTAAACCAGTTCCACACCACTGAAGTTGCAGCATTTTTACAAACCAATTCTGGTTCATCCGTTACATTCAACGAACCGCTTTCGCTCTTCTCATCCTGTGTCGTAAACATCCTGTATGTAAACAAAGGCACTGCGCATGCGCGTTTTACCCATATTCTATCGTGATATTTCATTTTCCTATCGTTGCCCAAAATTACACCGGTATTACCGTGAACGGTATGATATAGCCCAGCCCTATTGAACGATACAAAATTTTTAATTTATTTGATCAACTTTTCTCCTGACGATGCTGTCTGTGTTGAGAACTCAGTGGATCTGCGCTCGACAATGCAGCCAAGGCGGAGTAATCGAAGTATGAGTGCCGCCCATATGCATTCACTCAAGTTAGCATGGCAACTGCCTCAACGCTACCCAAAATTGAACCTCATCCACCGTACTTCAGATCTGGTGTTTGGAACTATTTTTGTTTTCATGTGAAGTATGACCCTACTTAAGCGCGTCATGGACAAAAGTACAACAGTATGTCGGATGTGCCACGCAATGCTCAGTTATATCGGTCGGAGCCATTTCTCTGTAATAAACTCTCTTTTCCACAGATTAGTGATTTCTCCATCAGATACATTTCTTTTTTAAATTATTTGATTGTTTCAGCAACATTTAATTTAAAAACTGTACTTTTGAGTTAAAAGAAATATTTGTAATTTTAATAGCTTAAAAAAGGCATGAACATTTTTTTGTATCGAAAAATATCAAACCGTGACACCAAAGTATCGAAACGAACTGAACCGTGAATTTTGTGTATCGTTGCACCACCTGGCGCTATGTCATCATTAGTAATAATGTTGTCCTAAATGATATTGTTACATTCTTAAAAATATTTTGAAATTTTAATAATCTTTAATGATTTTCTTTCCCTTGTTGTTGAAAATAATTTTGAGTATTTTCTGCACTGAGTTTGAAATTCTAGTATTGTGACAACCCCCCGGTGGTGCTTCCGTTTAAATAATAACTGCACGTTCCCATGAATGCTTGTATGGCAGCTTTCAAGGAGTAGTTCACATTAAATTCTTTTTGAACTAAAATGTATCTTTATGCACGGAAATATCTTCATGTGAAAATCCTAAAGATGTGTGCATTACATTCCTGCTGTTACTCATTAAAGTCATAGCGGAAAACACAAAACCGTAAATACCTCCACACATTTCCACTAGGTTGTTCTTTTTCTGGGGCTCCCAGCAAAGGAGAAAAAATAAAACTTCCTACAAAGAACCTGAAAGGTATCACCACGGGACAGTGCCTCACTTTGATGCCCGGAGCTTTGTCTTGAAATAAACACACATGCACACACTGCTGGGTTTTTTTTGGGTGTGTGTCATTAAAACAGAAATAGTCTTTTTGGCTATTGTGCCTCTTTTCAGGAAACAAAAAGAAAATCTCCCCTGGAGCAAATTTTCCAGTCAGCTGCGTTCATTAAAACTCAATACATTTTAACCCTCATTTAACTGGGTTAGCTGAGTTAGAATGTATTTACAGCAGCAGGAGCCCTCAGGGACAGGATTACTAAGAGGATGGTAACAGATTATATTTATACAGAAAGCCCTGTAACTATTTTCAGCTTTTGTTTTTACTCTTCAGCTCACAAATCTTAAAAAACAACAACAAAAAAAACCTTATTTGTTCTACATATTCCTGACTTCTGTTATCTTTCCCTCTTTTCCCATGACACAATGGATTCACCGCTTTAGTCCTCTACAATCTAATTTGTTTGAGGTCTTGAAGACTGAAAAATACTTTTAAATGGAGAACAAAGAATGCAGTCTAACGCAACAGCCCTGCAATAAATCACACCTCCTGAAGGTTAAATCTTAGTTAGTATTACAGAAACACCTCTCTATAAATTGCATTACCTTTCAGCAGCCTCCAAAAGGATCAGAGTTACATCAATACCTCTCTAAAACATTGTGGAAAACAAATCTGAGTGTAGATATGTATTGTTCCAAAGGGAAAAAAAGGAGATTCTGTGTTGGAAAGGGAAAAGGAAATGGATAGGATGTCTGCAAAACTATGACAATAATAAAGATCATTATAGACCTTGACAGTTTCTAAAATAAGTCAACTGAAGACACATTGGCTTTGGGTAGGTTTTCCACATAGATTGTGTAAAAAAGATGGATCTGAAGCCAATGTGGAAGTGCCTTGAACCTCAAAGTTTGATGTCCACTGCAGAAAACACTGTCCTGATGATCTGATTATGGTCTTAATTGCTTGTTTCAAGTCTTATTTAATACAGTGTTTTAATACTCATTTTGGAAAGTCATTTTCCAGAGGGACATGCAGCTTACAAGCCATAAGCATACATGCATATCTCCCTCTCCTCGCCCCCAACCGGTCACACTAGATGACTGCCCCTTCCCAAGACTGGGTCTGCCGGAGGTTTCTTCCTCTTAAAAGAGTTTTTCCTTCCCAATGTCGCCAAAGTGCTTGCTCATAGGGGGTCGTCTGATTGTTGGGGTTTTATTGTAGGGTGTTTACCTTACAATATTAATCTCCTTGAGGTAACTGTTGCTGTGATTTGGCACTATATAAATAAAACTGAATTGAGTTGAATTTCTCTCAGTTTTTCAGCCATAACTTGTGACATTCTGGTTTCAGAAATGGTGCCACTGAAAACTTTCCTAATCAGTGGGCCACGACATGGTACCTATGGCTTGCTTTTATGCATGATCTATGGCTTTTCACAGGTTTTTTAAAGGTCTTATCCAAATTTTTAGACCTATTCTATCACTTATCTAGAGTTGGGTCTTTATAGCAGCACACTACACAAATAGTCCAGATGTCCTTTTACCGGTTTGTTCTCCATCTGCTCCTCGAGATTATCTCAGGATAGATTAGATAATCTCTACAGAATATCTCTTGCCGATTGGATGTGTCCAGAACACCTCCAGTGGAATAAACCCGACATGTGTCCTCTAACCTTGAAATTTTAAACCATGTTTATGCTCGAACTACAAGTGGAACTATGTAGTGTGGTTGTGTTTATCCAGTAATGACTGATCTTGAAAATGGTTACCCTGCCAACAGGGTCCTTGAATATGGAAAACACTATGAAATGTCGCTTGATTTGACAGATGTTGCTGTTTCACAGGACAGAGCCAAGTCTCAAATTTCTTTCAATCGGTGAAACAATACTGAAGTGGTTAAGTGATTTGTGCTGTGAATGTATTATTACCAGAACACTTTCACGATTTACATAAATATGGATATAAATTCTCATTCCTATTCTTTCTCCATATAAATTTTGCATACATAGTGATTTTAAATTGATGCATTCCTTCCAATCTCATCCAAGTCAACATGCAGATATTTCTTTCTTTGCTCCTTGCTCATGCTGACTGACCATTTCTTTAACCCATCAGGCATTGCTGAAGATGGACTGCCAGGGTCTGGTTGCCAGGTTGGTCCTGGATTTTGTCTTGTTGACTACAGCAGTAGAGGTGGCATCCCGGTGGAGGGAGCTTGCTGAGAAGCTGGCCCGAGTCTCCAAACAGCAAATGGAGGCTTATGAGGCTCCACATCGAGACAAGAATGGTCTATTGGATAACGAGGTGAGAGGCCTTTAGTCAGTGTTACTATTTACCGGACAACTGGACACTGTCAATGCTGTGGATCACGTCATGAAGTCAATAAGTTAACACATGTACTACAACCAGTTTTTTTGTGTTTTGGGCAAAGCATTAAAAGCTTGCTGAATTAGAATTTAGGAGTTTTGGCTTGACGTATACCTGGATGTACCAACAACAATACATGAATTACTTTAACACCAAAGATAACTTTTAAGTTTGTTTCTTATTTCTTTGATTTATCAAATGTATTATTAGCTTTTATTCACAATTTACATGCTGTATGAGTTAAACTGTGTCTAAAAATTTGCATGTCATGTTTGTACACTTGAATTTTAAGTTATATGACTTATATACAAGATGTTTTAAGTTTTATGGTACAGTAATTATCACTATGCATCTCATGGCCTCTAGCTCCTGACCATATTTATTCTACACTCACATCACTTAAATATATATATAAACTATTTTATATTAAATGTCTTTATATCAAACTGCCCTGTGATCCACAAACAGTATATTTGTCCGAGTTACTGTGCTTGGGTAGAAACTCTTCAAGAAAACACAATACTACTCAAAACATTTCAGAATTTCAGGAGAATTAGGTCAAAATGCTAACAAGTAGCTCACGGCAGCCTTCGAAATACTATACTAGGTGTGGTTTATGGAAAGGAGTAACATAGATCATCTTTAACCTGTCAGCTCTTTAGTACAAAGACCTGCTAAAGTTCAGTCTAAATGGGTTTGAGATTTCCGTCCCTACATGAACCTCTTTTGTGTAAGTCTTTGGCAAACTCTTGCCTTTTGTTCTTAAAAAGACATTTTCTTTCACTTCCCATGATCCCCACCCTGAACCCTTTAGTCTATGTGGAAACCAGCCTATGACTTCCTGCTGACGTGGGCTGCCCATGTTGGGGATAGCTACCGAGATGTGATCCAGGAGCTCCACCTTGGCCTGGACAAGATGAGGAACCCCATCACCAAGAGGTGGAAGCACCTAACGGGCACACTTATACTTGTCAACTGCCTCGATACCCTTCGCAGTGCGGCCTTCTGTCCTACAGGATATGGAGATTTTGCTGTGTGAAATGTGTGACAGAAGATTTGATGGCTGGTATAGTAACTAAAGCTCAATTCTGGGATTTGTGTCCAGAGTTTTGTTGACTCGTGAACGGAAGTTGTCGAAAGAATGGTACTCACAACATGTCTGGAGTGGATATTTTCTTTGAAAGAAAAAGAAAACGTGTAGTTTTAGGGCAGTGTGAAGAATCTAGACCATCAGGTCTACTGTGCACATCCTGCTGTCTTGTCTGGACTCTCGCATCCACATCATAGCACCACTGATTGGTTTTTGATTAGTTACACACCAGAAGTAGCAACGCCACTTTCTGGCTCAAAATACATTGTGAAAATAGATAATCTGGCTCTTTGTGTTTTTTAAGCATCATGTTGTCCCTTTCTATCCCTTTCTTGTGGTCTCTACCTCTTATGTTGTTTCCGCTTTTCTTTCCTATATTCTTCTTAATCTCTTTTCTACCTCACACTTTGTCCTTTCAACTACGTTTTGATGGCTTTCAGAATTACATGCTGCTTTTTTCTGTGTTCCTCTCAGCTTCCCCTTATGCTTCAGTAAATGGCATTTTCAGGCTTCTGTCCTAATGTTTTTCTGTCACTGTGTATTTCCTTGCTTGACCCTCAGGACAGCATCACTCCTCATCGCTGCAGTACAGTGACATTTCCACCTCCTTATATGTTGTTATTTTGTTCATTTGACTGTATCTCACAAGCATTTTTAATTATAAAAAAAGTTCTTTAATCAAAATAAATGAGAAAAACTTTCATATATTAAAACAGTACAAGAATTGCCAGTGATTAGCTTGCCAAAAACTATTAGCTTGCTGACAGGGACTGTCTATGTAGTAAAGCTGCAGTACATCTGTTAATGCAAGTAATTTTTATACTTACATAAACATTTGTTTTTCTTAGTTTGGATTTATTCTTGGTGGACTCCACTTACATAACAAACTAAAGATTTAGTTGCTCAATATCCCTAGATGAAATTGATCCCAAAGAGCATACTGTACAAAAAACTCCTTGAAATTGCTTTGGTCACTACAGCAGTCACCTGTAGTTTGCATGGAAGACATCTACCTGTCTGCAAACACTTCCCAAAGTAAAAGATTTACTGAGCAAGCCAACATATTACAAAGGTCTCTATTTCTAGTTTGTATGATACTTTTCACAGTTTTGCTGGCACTTGTCGAGTAAAGACAATCCAATATCTTCCATCCAAACTAGACAAAGACACAACAGTAGTTGTGTACAACAGCTAGTAACCAAAGCAATGACAAGGAGATTTTTTGGTGAAGCACTGTTTACATCTTTGTAGCTAATTTCACCTAATGATTGCCGGCAACCTCCAGCAATCATTCGCCAATACAGTTAGCTAACAATGTTAGCATGCTGCATGTTGACAAAGGGATCCATTATTAATTTTGAATTCCAAAACCAAATTGCAATGTTTCAGTGTTAAAATCCAGTCAATTGGGAAACAGTATCTGTTTGTTTACTCTCACATCACCAGCTATTTTTTGGTCAGCTATTTTTTGGTCCAAATGCTTAAGCAGCATTGAGAGTTAAAGACATCCAATTACTTTCAGCTCCAGTACTCAGTGGGACTGTTTTCCCATGTGTGGTAGTTAGGTTTTCATTACTAGGCATCCATGAAGAAGATGCAAAGTTTACTGGAACTGGAAGATATAAGAGAAAGTTAGCTAGCTGGCTAGTTGCTATCTGGAGACGTTATATCATGTTCTGACTGAAGTATTTCTTTTAAAAAACTGAACTGCTATGGCTATTGACCTTAACAATAAAAGAAAACTAAATACCAGAAATGTTTGGAGGGTTAGTAAAGTTTGGCTAGTTGACAGAATTATATGTTACTTACAGAGCCAACGTTAAGCTAATTTACCACAGGGACGATGCAAGATGAAACTTACACTGTTCTCTAACTTAAACACTACTAACACTACTACAAGTACACTAATTGAAAAAGAAAAAGGCTTAGGGGCCAAGAATGACAGCTGAATTTTGTTTTGGAGCTCTAGTCATTTCAGCAGATAGCATTAGTTTGCTTGCTAGCTAGCATAGATTAGCAAATTCAGTTTTCAACATGTAACATGGCTGCAAATACAAATAGTTTCATTAATTGAGACTTGAAAATAAAGTGAAATGCATTTTCCTTTATTTGTTAACCTTACTGAAATCCAGAATACTTATATGTATTTTCAAAATGTATGCTTTTTTTTTCAGATGGCTGAAAATGTTTCAGTGCATTCTCACGTCCTAACCCCATACTCTTTATTAGTTACACAAAAATGTCAAATGTGTTTGTTTTCATTAAAAGAACTAGACAAACTAAACCATCAGAAATATCTTTTTAAAGCTTTTATTTAGTTTTTGTTAGTTTTTTTTGTCTTTTCAGATGTTCTTGATTCTGTGACTTTCAGCACGAATAATCAATCCACTTTGATGCTTTTTGGCGGGGTTTTGTGCTTTTGTTGTTTATCTCCATTATGTTTTTGTGACCGCTGCAATGTTTAGAATATGAACGTTTTCCGAGCAGAAAATTTGCAAGTTTATATATTTGTACCAAACACCGACTGAGTATTGACACATTTGTAAGTGATGCTTTATCACATGTGAGAATTTGCAGATCTGTTCAGTGTTTCTGTTCAGTATCAATAAAACCAAAAAACATATGAAAGTCTTATACGCTTACAGTTATTCTACTTACACTTATATTCATGTGTGCACAAATGATTTCTGCAAGACTGAAAACAGCATTTAGACATAACTAAAGTTCGCTCTTTAGGCTTGAGGTTTGGACTTTTACTGGGCTATTGCAGCACCTTGATTGTTTATCATTCATTTTGTTGCAGATTTGCTGCTGTGCTTGGGATTGCATGACCCAGTTTGGGCCAAGCTTTAGCTGTCAGACAGATTACCTCACACTTAGACTCTAGAATACTTTGGTTTACAAAGGAGTTCCTGGTGGACTCAATGACTGCAAAACCAGGAACTCCTCTGTAACTGCAAACTCATCACCCCTCCACCACTGTCCTGACAGTTGGTATGAATATGTTTATGCTGATATCCTGTGGTCCTTTGGATTATGGACAAACATTTCCACTTTGGTTTTTTATATTTCCAAAGGACATTGTTTCAGAAGTCAAAACAAGTTCAAAAGAAGCCACATGTGAACAGTCTTTTTCTAATTGTACTGTCAACTTTTTTTTGCTAATTGAGTGTATGCAGTGTTCAGTAGATACTTCTCAATCACGAAGATTGTGGCTTTGTGTTAACACACCTGAAACTTCCAAAATATCTGCTTTTATAGATGTGGCCACTGTTATGGATCTCAATCACATCAACAAGCTCTATAAAGTGCATTTTTTCTTATTCCAGAGTTAAGATAATTTGTTTGTCGCATAACTAGAAGATTTTGAATGTTATGGCAGCAAAGAGATGTGTAGCAACCTAGCAATATAAAAAAGACATACCTAAATAGAAAAAGATCATAATAACCAGTAAAAAAATATTTAAAACAAGGAAAAACCTAAAAAACATTAAAGATAGACAGAAAGACTGTTTAATAATGGCTAACACTGCTTACAAGGGCGACCGTGGCTCAGGGGGTTGGGAATCGCATCTGTAACCAGAAGGTCGCCGGTTCGATCCCTGGGCTCTCTATCCTGGTCGTTGTGTCCTTGGGCAAGACACTTTACCCTACTTGCCTACTGGTGTTGGCCAGAGGGGCCGATGGCGCGATATGGCAGCCTCGCTTCTGTCAGTCTGCCCCAGGGCAGCTGTGGCTACAACTGTAGCTGCCTCCACCAGTGTGTGAATGTGAGAGTGAATGAATAGTGGCATTGTAAAGCGCTTTGGGTGCCTTGAAAAGTGCTATATAAATCCAATCCATTATTATTACATGAGGTGGTAGTTATTTCACAGTATAAGACATATTATTTCACAAGTGCAGTTATGTCAGTGTTTTATTGTTTGATTTACTGAGAGCAGTTTTGACCAGAACAAGAATGAAGGACCTAGATCTCTACTTCAGACACAGCAGTGAAGGATCTGCCCAGTGATATCACTGTGCCGTCAATAGGGTAGGAAGTGGTGTCGATCAGAGTTGATTGCCTTTATTTGTTATTTTGTTACTTTATGAGTGTTGAGTGTTATTCTGTGCTGTACCTTTCAGTAGGCGTGTAGTCCTCTAACTTCTCTAGTTCTTTTAGCTCCTGTCTCTGTAAGGCTTCCCTACCTAACAGCCCACTTTCCTCTGATTCATCACTTTCTGGAAGCCAGCTGAGGGGCAGCACCTAGTGCTTGTGAGTTGTCTCGACATTGTGGGATTTCTGTGGCTGTAGCAGGTGACGGTGAGAAGAAGAATCTTTGGAAACTGAATATTCACGGCAGTCTGAAGCCTGAGCTTATGGCTCACGCTGATTGACACATAAGGCTGAAAAATAGAAAAAGACAGTATAATACTCTATTTTTATCTCTTAAATACACATACATACATACACATACAGAGAAGACATGATTTCAAAACATGGGCAGATTTAGGGCTGTCAGACCTCGTGCTTTTCTCTCTTTCCATGACATTAAACACACGCAAGACCCAACATTTATTTTATTTTCCAACTTTTTTCCCAAAATACTTCAATATACCTTTAATGTGAGATTCTGTAGCGATGCACCAAAGAATTCATGAATTTCTGCACCCGGCCCCAATTGGGATTCTCTCTGCGCATGAGCTCTCATTGCAATGCAAAGTTTATTGTGTTGAGTGTTGCGTGACGCTGTCATCATGAAGCCCACAAAGACAATGCAGCAGATTACAGCGTGTAAACACACACACACACACACACAGAAAAACACATTCAGATATCACACATGGATGCACACGCTGGATGCATGCATGCTCAAGCACTGCACGTGAATGCATACGTCTTTCTGAGCACGCTCTTTTAACCCACCCAAGCATAATCCGCCTTAGACACACACACAGACACACACAGTTTAATGTACTTAATTAAAGCAGATAATTATTCTCCCTCAGAGGACCGGCCACCTTGACAGTCTCGTCCTTTGCCTCTCACTGACTCACCCTTCACATTCCTACCCGTCTCCTGGATACAAGTCGAAACTCACAACAAGGCCATGAATATGTGTGTGTACATGTGTGCGCTTTTTGTCCTGTTTTATCTAAGAATAAAAAATAAAAAGTTTAATTAGTTTTTCATGGTGGATCAAAATCTGAAAGTACCACAGGAGAGAAGAATAGACTGTAAAATGCTCTTGCTGTGTGTTTTAGGGAAAACACACAGCAATGCATTTTTGCCTGCAAGGAAATCCGCTTTTATTGCAATGCTGCTGCCATCTGATTGGCTCACAGGTTGTCTGCTAGTTGTTACAACATCTGGCTCTTATGTGCTGGAGTAGTAGAAAGTAACCTAGGATTCATTTGGCATTATAGGGACTATTTTGTGTTATTTGTTTTATTTGAAACCAACCAAATCTTTTTAATTAAAATTTGAGCTTTTTACTCACTCAGCAGTTTTCCTTAATCTGCATTGGTTTAATTAACCACGCAATGAGCCTAAATCTTGATGTTTACTTTTTTCTGAAGATAGATGGTGTTAAAAACACTATATAAGCAACCCTCTTGGGCCTGATGTTATGCCAGAGGAGTTTTGAAGCTGTGCAGTTACTGAGTCAGCAGAGCATTGGTGACTTTAATACACCTCAGCTCTCAGCAGTCTGTAACTTTATGTGACTGAGTTGCTGTGGTTCGTAAAGACTTCCACTTTGCAGTAAAACCACTCTGATGGTACTTTTCTAGCAGGCAAAAAATTTAACAAACTGACTTGCTGTAATAGTGTCGTCCCATTATAGTACAACCATTGAACTTCAGTGAGGTTTTTAAAGCGACCCATCCTTTTACAAGTGTTTGTGAAGGCCGACTGCATGGGTAGCGGCTTGATTTTATACACCTGTAGCCATGAGACTAAAGACGCCTGAATTCAATGATTAAGAGGTGTGGGCCAGTACCTTTGTCCATTTGTGCATTGTATCTCAATCTGATATGGAAATCATCATACAATAATGTGCATAAGGCTTCTTGAAGGACATTCAAAGCTCGTCTTTGGATGTTTCTGCCTTCTGTTCTCTGTCAGCATGATCCCACACTGCTTCAATAATGTTGATGCCCTGTTGAGGATTGGGGAGGCCAATCCATGACTGATACTGCTCCACTGTGTGTTTTTCTATACAGGTATGATTTTGCTGCATTGGCAGTGTGTTTGGGATCATTGTTGATGAAAGATGAAGTTATTGCCAACCAGATGCTTTCCAGATATTTCATGGTGGATCAAAATCTGATAGTACTTTTCTGTGTTGAACAATGTCCGGTCCAATACCACTGGCTGAAATGCAGCACCAAACCATTGCAGAGGTCCAGATGGATCTCTTAGGTCCTGTGTCAGGTCTTTGCGGGATTTGTTCCTGTTTCTTTAGGTCATAACTTTTAGATAATGCCCTGCACTTGTCCAGTTTCCTTAGTTTTTTTTAAGGACAAACTACACACCATGCTGAGATATGGTGAGTTTTTAGCTAATATCTCTTTGGGAATCCCCTTATTAGTGTAAATATATTATTTTATGTCTGTCAAACTGTGCTATATTTGGTATTTTTCACAGATTCAACTAAAGAAATTGGAGCAAATTATTTATTTTTGCAACAGGCTGCTAATACCAAAGTGGCTAAAGACACAATTTAAAAACTGTTCTTTGCTAAGTTGTCTGTTGCTACCTTGAAAAAGAAGCTTAATACCCACCTGGGTAAGTTAGCTTTTAGTTAGCTTTAAACTTCATTTAAACTGTTTTAATTGTTGTCTTTTTGCCTTTTAATTTATTTTATATTTACATATATTTTGTGACTTTTGTACTGGAAAATTACTTTGTAAATACACTTTCCTTCCTGTGTTTTTGGTTTCCACTAAACTTCTAAAGGAAATATCAACTTCTTTAGGTTTCCTATACTTACTAGCTAGTCCCTCACGATATCAATTTGCTGCTGAGCAAATGTATGTGGTGGCATTTTGCAAGATTTTGTCTCTCAGTTGCAGGCAGCTGTGGACAAAAATGACATAAAGCAGTACAACTGTTGCTGGGCAACCAAAGAAATGTATTAAAATGATATATAAATGTCTGTAAGGATCAGAGATGCTGCAGATGTAGCTAATAATTCTATTTAGAGTACATGAATAATTGATACAGTGGTATTAGAAAAGTTAAGACTCTTATCCTGTTGTGTGTGTGTGCACACACCCAGACACACAGACTCTCACACACACACACGCACGCACACACGCACACACGCGCACACACACACACACACATAAAAAAAAAAAACACCCAGCACGCCCCTGCGGGCGGTTTATCCTTCAAGCTCGGGTCCTCTACCAGAGGCCTGGGAGCTTGAGGGTCCTGCGCAGTATCTTAGCTGTTCCCAGGACTGCGCTCTTCTGGACAGAGATCTCCGATGTTATTCCCGGGATCTGCTGGAGCCACTCGCCTAGCTTGGGAGTCACCGCACCTAGTGCTCCGATTACCACGGGGACCACCGTTACCTTCACCCTCCACATCCTCTCGAGCTCTTCTCTGAGCCCTTGGTATTTCTCCAGCTTCTCGTGTTCCT